AATTCATAGTCATGAAACTACAGTATTTTCTTTGGTCTTTGCTGTAAGATTTCCAGTTAAGCCATCCGGAAGTGGGCGAAAACTGAATTATAAAATATTATCATACACACACACACACACACACACACACACACACACACACACACACACACACACACACACACACACACACACACACACACACACACACACACAAACACACACACACACACACACTCACACACACACACACACACAAACACACACATGCGCGCGCGCACTGACGCATATTTTTAGGGTTCCGTAGTTACACAACAAGGAACCTTTATGGTTTCGCCATGTCCGTCCGTCCGTCCGCTATTTTGCTCTAGGTGCTACAAATTTGTAATTTGGCACAATTATAGATATTAATCACGCCTAGAAAACTGTGAAATAATATCTTAAAAAACATTTTTGTTGAAACTTGGGGAGTGCTTTTAGCCGGGATGGAAGATGTGATTTAGATGTGGACAGGCGTGCCGCTGCCGGGAACAAAGTCAATGGTGCCCTGACTGCGTTAGTCAAAAGGCAAGGCGTAGCGAAGAGTACACGCCTTGCAATACATAACGCAGGGTTGGTACCGACTTTGTTATATGGCAGCGAAACCTGGGTATGCCAGAAGAAGCATAAAAGTAAGTTGAATGCTGTGGAGATGCGATCTCTTCGTAAAATTTGCGGCGTTACCATGGCCGACCGAAAGCGAAACGAAGAGATTCGCAATATGGCAGGTTTGAAAGATGACCTTATCACAAAAAATGATAAGGGCGTGCTTCGGTGGTTTGGGCACGTTGAGCGAATGAGTGAAGACCGAATGGTGAAACGAAGAAAATATATAGCGCGAAAGTTAATATTAAAAGGTGTCGAGGTAGACCGAGACTAACTTTCGAAGACCATGTGAGCAAATTGCTCGAAGAGGGTAGGGTCAAGAGTACTCGGATACCTAGACGTGCATGCATGAAGAAGATAATGAATCTGAAGAAGCGAAAGAGGTTTGTAAGGATCGTGACACTTGGCGATCTGTTCTCTCTGGCTACCCCGTCAGGGATTGTGCGTGAAGATAAGTAAGTAAGTAAGTATTTTTGTTTTGGGTACTTACCATGCAAGTAAATGGAGGATTATTTTTTTTTACCAGTCTATACCATCATGTGGGGTATCATTGGATAGGACTTAAAAAACAACATCTTATTGGGTGTGTACCAACATCTTTTTGATTCAGGGGTCCGTTTGTGAAATATTTAGCTTTAAATTGGTATTTTTCATTAGAGTCATGTGTGTGAAAAGTATACATTTGTAGTATATATAATTAAGTTTAAAGGAAAACTATCACAGCTAAGTAGAATGAAAAACTTAACGAGTAATTGTCGACCTACTTATAAAATTCACTTAAATTAGTAAAACTTTCATTACAACTCCCATAGAAAATGACCCAAAACTAGCTGCATTAATAACTTTGTAACGTTTTTTTATAGGATAAGGGTGACAAACGAGCATACAGTCCATGTGATGGTAAGTGGTTGCTGTGACCCATAGACATCTACATCTATCCTCAATAAAGATCAAATGCAGATGTATTGTCACCCGTGAGGTCTAAGATCTCATTTTTTCAATTTTTTCAGTAAAAAGGGTCTCCGGTTCCCTAAACTCAACATACGAAACATAGCAGCGTTAAGCTGCTATTCCACGCTGGTATTCTGTGAGACCGTGGTCCTTCCCCGGTCGAGCCGACCCATTCGTGCCACAACTATACTACTAATATAGCTGCACCATGGCTCTACCATATAAATGTTTTTACCACTACCACGTAATGTTTTTGTAATCTGTTAAAAATAAACACTTTATGAAGAAAACGACTTATATGCATTACTACTATTAGCTTTACTTTTTCATTTGCGGGGTAAATATGGTATTATTATCAAAATCTAAAAGTTATTTTTAATCTTGTTTGAATACCACTCCCTATAAGGCCGATTTGAAAATAAGTCCTTCAGTTACGAACTTCCTATTTCGGCTCATTTTTAGTCGTTATAGCGGTCAAACCGCGAACTCACTTATCATGTTCATTATCAAGGAAGCCCACGTATTGTGACGGGCAACAACGGAACCGGTGCACTTGGCCTGTTTTTACATACACACGTTTATGCATGGATACATTTTTCACTTATTATAATAATCCAGTACCTGATTTCAATCACACCTAATGGTAAGTAGTGAGAAGCCCTATATAGTAAATGACACTGTCTTAGCGTAACAAAAACGTGTCTTAGCGTGGGTGTCGTAAGAGGCGATAGAGGGCAACAAATCATTAGATGGACAGCAGGATCTTCGTAATAACAAAAAACTGCGTGCACAAGCTATGTCCACAAGCGTGGCAACTATGGCAAATATCCCCCATCTATTGGGGAGGCCTACGTTCAGCGGTAGACTTTAATAGGCTGTAAAGGTAAATAAGTACTACATAATATTATCCTGTAATATTAATCTATACAAATAAATAAAATTGAAGTGTCTTTTTGTAATTTAAAATTTCAGTTTTTTACTAAATGCATATGAAAGCAAACACGGTACTTATAACTAAAATACAATTTTTAAAATTTTTGTCTGTCTGTCTGTCTGTTTGTTCCGGCTAATCTCCGCAACGGCTGGACCGATTTTGACGGGACTTGCACTAGCAGGTAGCTGATTTCATAAGGAGTTACTTAGGCTACTTTTATTGTAGAAAAACAATTAGGGTTCCGCGCAAAAACATAAAAACCCTAACACGCGAGCGAAGTCGCGGTGAACAGCTAGTTTGGAATAAACTCAGAAACAGATATTCAGAAAGCAATCACATCCGCTCGGGCGTTAGACTACGCGATTGAAAAGCTATCATATACTTATTAATAAAAATAATATTTTACGCATGAGTATTTCTAATATCCAATTTTTCGAAAATTTTGTCATGTAGAGGCATGATAAGGAATTTAGAGTCTCATGATTTTGCTAATATTTGACGTGGAATAAATATTCCAATAAAATTCAACAAATTTCACTGCCTGGTTTATAATTTTCCTCGACATTATGTACCTATACGAGTATGTTACGATCGTTTTGATTATAATGCGTACCAACTGTTTAATGCTTAAACGATGCGGAACTAATGTATGTGAACGTACGCCTTTGTATCGCATTATGCAAATATATAACGGCTTGTTCAAATATATTGACATATTCTTGTTGAGTCCATACAAATACCGAAACAGTGTCTCCATCATAATCACTACAGGATACCACAAGTCTACCGCTGAACATAGACCTCCTTGAAAGAGCCTATAACACCTTCATATTTACGTGCAATTAATTTAAAACAATTACACGGCAGCCGCATGGGCATCGTGAAAACTAAGGGATTAGCACGCAGTTACGAGTATGTATGCACATATGGTGGTCAAACATCGATACGGAAGTGGAAGCGCTATGCCGAAGCTGCGAGACCTGCGATTCGACGCCTACATATTAAGGATCATGAGATACAGGACGGACAGACGGACGGACAGACGGACGGAAAGACGGACAGCGGAGGCTTAGTAATAAGGTCCCGTTGATTCCCTTCGGATACCATTATTTACGTGGTAGAGCCATGCTGTAGCTATATTAGTAGTATAGTTGTAGCACGAATGGGTCGGCTCGACTGGGGAAGTACCACGCTCTCACAGAATACCAGCGTAAAATGGCAGATTAACACTGCTGTGTTTCGTATGGTGAGTGTAGAGATCCGGAGATGCTTTTTACTGGAAAAGAGGCATTCCATCTTAGCCCTCACGGGTGACAACGCATCTGCATTTTGATTCGCAAAAGAGGATACGCACAGCAACTACTTCTATCAAAATAGTTAATTCGTGAAGATTGTGTTTATAATTTCCAACGAATTATATCCTGCGTCCGCTTCATAAATTTTGTTGCTTTTTGTCAAATATGGGTGACAAAAGACCACACACTCGACCTAATGGTAAAAGGGTATACCCTTACACGTACTCTCGATAAAGATTTAAATTGTTGATGCGTTGTCATTTCTGAAAGGTCTAGTGCTTCGTAACCACAGAAAAGGGTCACTGGTATTCTATGAGCATATAGTTTTGCAGCCAAAATTCAGCGGTGTTATTACATAAACTCAAATTTAAATTCATTTTATTCGTTTGCGATATATGGGTTACAGAAGATTTTAATAATTTAACAAAAATACAGCCATTTTCTACCTTCCGGTGTGAGAACTACTTAAATACAAGATTTTTTTTTATAATTAAAATGGAATTCTGATAATTACATTAACATAATAAAACTCTATTTCTATATTTGCACTACTAAAATATTAATAATTCAATAAATAGTAATATAATAAATGTAATAATTAAAATTATAATGTCAAAATAATAATATCAAAACGAATGTAAATTTATAATTTAGACACAATTGTAAAACATGTAATCGTCAAAACTAATGTTTTTTTTTTTGTAGTAGGGTGATTTGAATATAACTTTTGAATAGCCGTACAACATTAATTCATTTTCAACCGACTTCAATAAAAGGTTTACAATTCGACTGCATGTTCTTGGTTTAATTGTGAACCACTTTGGATGTCTTTTATATTTTATAGATTATTCTTTAGCGGTGGTCTCACATAAATTTGGAGAAATGATTTCACCTTTAAGAGTGGCAAAATAAGGGTTGAATTTTTTAGTTATAGTTTAGATGACACAGATATTGTGATATTCATGAGTACGGTATAAAATTAACTTCCAATAGAAGGTAAACGCTGACTTCAAAGAAATTACAAAACTAAAATAATTTCACATTCTGAAGCTTACTTACATATAACCGACATCAAAATTCGAAATTATTTAATTAATTTTCGTTATTTGAAATCAGCTTTTGTTTTTATTTAAAAACATTGAAAGTCGTATTATTTAATTTAAATAAAAATAGAACAAACGGTTCAAAATACTCACAGTAAAACAAAACAGAACTCTATGGTCCATACTACAGCGAACTAATCCACCAAAATACCAATTAACCCGCCTTTTATCAGCATCGAACACAAAATGAAGAAAATATCGTCCACCGTTCTAGGCAAAAACTGCGGGTGCTTTTTATCGCAACAAATAATTTATTGTAGTTTCACTTTGAACTCATGAAGGAAACGCTGACAATAGGTAACTAAACCGCACTTTTATAGCATCCTCGGTGAATCAGAACAGGCTTACTGAGAATGCGGCATAAGTGCCGAGTCTTTTGTATTAATCATTGCACTAGTGATCAGCTAAGTTTTAGTTTGTAAGGATATTAAATTATCTAGAAATAATTTTAAATTTCTGTAAATTAGTTGCCATTGTCACGATTTCCTAATCTCTCAGCAAAGAAGGTTTGAAATAAGAACCTTAGACACGTCATTCACAATATGCCTAAAATCAAATTTCGGTAGTTTGTCTTCGAATATAAAGAGTACTTATACAAAGTTGGAAACTCTTCCAGATGACGTGAACTAATAACTGAACTCTATTTTCTACGGAACTACGGAAAAATGAATTGTTTATGATCTATATACTCTTTTAAGAATTTGCATATCAAAATAATAATAATAGTTTTTTTAAACGTAACCTTCACACTAGGATTTTCTCCTGTATCGTGGGGGGCAGTTTACAAACATAAATTGCACAAGGACAAACATCCAGAAACATCATCTGGAAATATTATTTGTAGACCATACAAATACTTGTTCCGTGCGGGTTTCGTACCCGCGGCCCTTATCGCTGCAACTCAATTGCTAAGCCACTGCGCCACGGGGCCGTCACAGCTCCACTTGCGTCGTATGTCTATTGGTTGTAAGCACGACTGCTGATCATGTACATACACAAATTTCAGACGATGCAGAATTCAAAACTGGGACGTTTCGAATTCTGGATCGACCAAAATTTGTGATTGCGTTTTTCTGTTAGGGAATTCTATTATATTTATATATTTTAAACGTGGTAGAGCCATGCTGCAGCTATATTAATTGTATAGTTAATCTATACAATTAATATAGCTTTATATCTAAAAAAAAAATATAATAAAGTGTAAGGTGAATCTCACCATCATCCTTCACAGTTAGCTACCGTGGGAAAATCTTTGTTTCAGAGAGCACGAGGGATCTGTGACAGAAAACATCTGGCCGCCGAGCTTCAGCACGTCGAGCAAGTACTGCAAGACAACAAGCTTCGGGTCCCGCGCCTACGTCACAGTGACCGAATGAAGCCAGCCACAGTCGAGCGTGTGCCTGCTGTACTACCCTATGTCAGAGGAGTCACAGACAAGGTTGGCTACATCTTGAAGCGAGCTTCCATTAAAACGTACTTCAAGCCGCTGAAGAAGATTGATCAATTTTTACCATCCGTCAAGTGTCATATCCCTCTACAAGATGCAGGAGTGTACAAGCTGGATTGTGAATGTGGTCTCTCGTACATAGGACAAACAAAAAGATCTATTAAAACCCGCGTTAAAGAACATATAGCTGACGTGAAGCACCGACGTATCGGGAAGTCTGCAGTTTGTGAACATGTTCAAGATCGTCCCCGCCATTACATTAGATTTGATAGACCACAAATCCTCGCAAAAGAACACCGATTCCTCCCAAGGATGATTCGCGAGGCTATTGAAATTAAAAAACATCCTAATTTCAATAGAGAAGATGGATGGGTGCTGCCATCTGCTTGGGATCCCATAATTAATAAAATCAAATCCAAACCCAAGTATACCACTGCTAGACTTCAAGATACTGTAAGCTCATTCTGCGTAAATCGAATACCAAAAATTAATATTAAAAAACTGAAGGTAGCCGGGCTAACTATGACAGCAGGACGTCAAACAACTCAGTCCCCCGTGACCACGGGTGCTGAAAAGCACCCGAAACGTCGGGAATATAAAAATAAGTTAATATACGCGATAAAATACGTTAAAATTAGTTTTATTATTTTAGGTTACATATATGTATTTTCCGATTCTCATTTGTATGTAAATCAAAGCTGGAATGTTAAGTCGTTTGTGTAACACTACAAAAGCGACCTTTTATAATTTTGCATAACGTTCTTTATTTTGCTTTTAACTTTTATGCTCTTACTGTGTACATACGAGTGTATAACGTCAACGGCTCGCTGTAAGTTCTAAAATACTCGAGTAACAAGTTACTTAAGCAAATATTATAGAATTCGTCAGCACAATTGAAATTAGCCCCCCCCCACTAGATGGAGTGACGTCATGGTAAGACATGCAGGAAGTCGGTGGATATAGGTTGCTCAGGGCCGTGCTTTGTGGCATCATTTGGGGGAGTTCTATGTTCAGCAGTGGACTTTTGAAGAGCTGAAATGATGATGAAGATGACTCGTTAATCCAGATTAATCTTAGAATACAGGTAATCGGTGATAACGATTAATTCCAATCGTAATCGTTGCATTACTAGTGGCCACTTACTATCAGATGGACTGTAAGTGAGTTTATCACTTTAACTTTATAAATAGGCTTATATCCAATTTATTTTATCATAATTTAAAATTAAAAATTTTGTAGAATCGACATCAATAAATTATTAAGAATAACTAAAAAAACGATTGGTCAGACCTTGATAAACAAACAAATTAACAGTTAATTTTTTTTTGTTTTTTTATTTTATAGGATAGGGTGACAAACGAGCAAATAGTCCACCGGATCTGCTCCATCTCCATCTCCATCTATCCTCGTTGCGAAAAAATGCAGATGCTTTGTTACCCGTGAGGACTAAGATGGAATGCCTCCTTTCCAGTAAAAAGAGTCTCCGGTTCGCTACACTCACCATATAAAACACAGCAGTGTTAAGCTGCTATTTTACGCTGGTATTCTATGAGAGCGTGGTCCTTCCCCGGTCGAGCCGACCCATTCGTGCTACAACTATACTACTAATATAGGTGCAGCATGACTCTACCACGTAGAATACGTAAAACACGCATTATTAAGGATAACTCAAAAACTACTGGTTAGATGTTGATTAAATTTATATGGGACCACAAAAGAAGCATCAGCTATCAAATAAAAAAAATCATCGAAATCGGTTTACACAGTAAAAAGTTATGAGGTAGCCCACATAAAAAAATAAAAAACATAGAGTCGAATTGAGTACCATCTTCTTTTTGAAGTCGGTTGAATAAAGGATTATGTCCAGCTGTAGTCTCTAAAATTACTGACGTAGCGAATACGATTTTAAGCCTTTTTATTTTAGGTAGGTATAGTAGTATGGTCTGAGATCAAAAGGTTTTTGAAGGTTGTTTGAAGGACGTCCTCTTTATTCACAGTAAAAGAAAAATCCTTATGTTATCCACGAAAATCCATGGAGAATTTAACATTAATAAAATTTTGTGTACTTTATGTCCAGTTAAATCCTTTAATTGAGGCTGTCGTACGAAATGAATTTTTGTGAACAATGGAGTATCAAAAATTCATTAATAACATCTCTTGTAATATTCTCATGATACTCGTATATTATCATTCTAATATTATTTAGACAAAAGCCTTAAATTTGCTTACAAAGAAATTTGCTTTAGTTTTTTTACTAGGCGTTAATAAGTATTAGAAATTAAAGATAAGTAACACTCCATATTATATACGTTTTACCGCTGCGTAAATCCGTATTGGGGGATTTGAAATGTCCTCGAATTTCATATTTCTTTAACGTACAGGATTCTTCACAATGGGCTCAATGTTCAAGAAGATGGAACACCGCACCATGATCAGATTTATTCACGCACGAGTGCGCGATACACACGCACAAACGCCTGGCTTTTCCAATCAAAATGGTATTAATATTATTCTATACATCGTTTTAAAGGACTGGTGGTTTTAATATTTCATAAATGAATAACGTTTTTAATTTTGAGGAATTTATTTTATAAATCTTTCTGTAAATAGCATTTGTTACGAATAATGTCAGCAAGTAACTGGTAGAATAAATAATGGCAAGTTTACAGTTTTAACGAGCAAGTTGAAAGCGTAGATAGACATGGCGTCTTGTTATACAAAGTCGTTTCTTATTTATGTGTTTAAAACGCTTTATTTATGTTATTGGTTGGATATGTTGATTTAATTGATAATTATAATAATTTATTCGATCGCATACTATAAAAATGTCACGAGTCGTTGAACATTTTGGTCAAGGTGACATTTGAGCAGAGTGTTTGGTGGCACATTTTATGTTCTGGATATTTCGAGAACATTTGGAAGATATTTATTGGATGGCTCCGTGGCGCAGTGACTTAGCAATGAGTTATTGAGCTGGGGGCCGCGGGTTCGAATCCCGCACGGAACAAGTATTTGTATGGCATACAAATAATTGTACCGGGTCTGTGTTTGTCCTTGTGTAATTTGTGTTTGTAAACTGCCTCCACGATACAGGAGATAATCTTAGTGTGGGGGGTAACTTTTTTTTTTCAAGAAACAATATCGCTGTGGTGAGGTCAGGAGAACACCACTACCACAATCTTTATTATCATCATATTATGGACTATATTTTCCCACATGGTATAGCCACGCTGCGCCTATATTATGGTTGTAACACGAATACGTCAGCTTGAATATAGAAGGACCATGCTATCAGAGAAAAGCAGCCTTATGAATGTAGAGATCCAGTGATCTTTTCCACTGGAAACGAGACATTCCAACTTATTCCTCAGAGGTGACATATAGATGAATGAGCCAAAGCATCCACTTACCACCAGGTGGACTGTGTACTCGTTTGTCACCCTTATTCTAAAAAACAAGAAAACAACACTCTGACAAATCGACTTATTTAGTCAGGTTTCTAAAATTAATATAAATAATAGATGTATAATAGTTTGTAAAAACTTTGAACTCATTGTTAGAGCGCTTTAAATTTCAAGCTCAATTTATTTAGCTAAATAGAAATTTTACTGGCCATTGGTTGACTTACGCTTCGCAAGTTTTATGGACCGAAGTTATTTTGTCCTGACCACACGCC